CATATGCGGTGCAAACCTTGCCAATTCAATAAACTTGGCCTCGTACTGTGCTACTGTCTGATTTCCTTGGATTAATTCTAGAAATTCCATTCCTTTTTGGTCTCGAATAAAATCTGGGAAATATTTTTCATTGAATGCCTCTATAAATACTTCCCAAGTCAAGGTTTTATTTTCTTTGACCAATACTCCTTTTGCCATTCGCCACCAGTGTTGTGCCTCACCTTCTAACATAAAAACTGCCAAGGCCACCTTCCTATCATCAGGACATTCCATAACCTCGAATATTTTTTCCAATTGCATAATCCATCCCTCGGCTTCCAGTGGGTTTACAGCACCCTTAAAAGAGGTGGGTTTAATTTCTTAAATTGTTCGATATTGCTCTCACCATTTCCTGTAACTGACTGCTTGGGTGGATTGTTGTTTTCCATCTGATGTTGCATTAAAGCAACCATATTTTCCAAGGCGTTGTGAATTCCTTCCATATTGGCTTCAGCTATTCTGGATCTTGACTTTATCCCGGTCTGTACACACAATAAATGTGATTTTTAAGTATATTCTTTTTAAATTTCCGAAGGATCTTAAACCTATTGCTCTGATACCATAATTGTCACACCCCAAGAATTTACAATACTATTATTTCTGATATGTGACGGACAAAACATATATACATCTATTGATAGGACAATTTACAGTGGCGAGGTCTTACATAGTAAATAAAGAAAGCTAGTACAACAACAATATCTTCCAAGGTTGATCTTAACTAGCACTCAAAATGAATCCGTAGTTATCCTGAAAAAATGTTTACCATAGTTTGATGAGTTTGGCTACTCAGTAAGTGATCATCATAATCCTAAAAATAATCATGATTGAAAGATATCAATATTTTCCAAAATGAGATCTATTAACAGAAATGCATCAACAGTTTCACTTTCAATAAATGCATAATTAAGTATAATCCGAGTAATTGAAATGCTTATAACACTTTTAACGACAGTACATAATTCAAAGGATTTCACAAAATACCCTACTGGCGTCCCAAGTAGGTCACCTATATACTCCATCAGCGTCCTGATGGGTCCACTTAATCCCTATCGGCGTCCCAGATAGGTCCACTTAATCCCTGCAGGTCCACTTATACCTGACCGGCGTACCGGATGAGTCCACTTAATCCCTACCGGCGTCCCAGATAGGTCCACTTATACCTCACCGGCGAACCGGATGAGTCCACTTGCATACTTAAATTATTTTTAAATCTCTTTAAACATTCGAAAGCAGCAATATCATGTACTCAACATATCACTAAAATCATTAATATGAATTTCACTTAAACCATTAATAACAATCACTCTATATAACATTTCAAAAATAACCAATCATATATCTTGGGCTCAAATTTAGAAAGGTAGCAGTTTGTAAAGGCATTCTAGCATAATTGCCAATTTAATATGTATAGAAAAACTCTTATAAAAATTCAAGAATACAGAATTATCACAATTTATGGGATGTTAATTTGCAAATAAACATTTCACAACAATACTATAATCAATTGCAAAAATGTCAATTTTTAAATAATACGGCAGTTATTTGCACACAAATTTTACAATGTCTAAATATTCAAAACAGTAGAAAGAAATATCACAATTTTACTAAAAGCAGAAATATCACATTTATTTCTAACAATAAACAAGAAAAATAAATAAATTTATTTTTCTAATTTACAGCATTCAAAATTTCTAACATAGATAAAATATCACAATTTTGATTAAAAAGATTATTTTTCATGATAATGAGGTCACGTGCGCATAAAATTTATCGCGCCTAAAATTCATGATAATAAGCAGAAATAATTATTTCATTTCATTTTTAAAAAGAATGGATTATTTTTCGAGACAATGAGGTCACTTACACATAAAATTGATAAAATAAAGATCCTAGACGGAAATATCACTATTTATTAAAAGTAGACTATTTTTCAGAAAGACGATGTCACTTACACACAAAACTTATAAAATAAAGATCCTAGATGGAAATATCACTATTTATTAAAAATAGACTATTTTTCAGGAAGACGATATCACTTACCCACAATTATTTGAGAGGGAGCTTCCGATAAAAATTTCGGTTCGAGAGAGAAGTTTACTGTGTTTCGACCAGAGAGAGAGATCTCAAAATTTTGTTTTAGGGTGGGAGTGCTCACATCCCCTATTTAAATTCTTATAACGTATTATTATATTATTTTCTTACGCTCTACCTCATACCTGAGGTGTCGCGTTAAAAGCAGACTTTTATCGTACGAAAACCACGTCCGCTAAAGGACGTTGCCAGCTGCAAACAGCAGAAGGCAAAAGCAGGCAAGCAAAACGGGCAAGCAAAAGTTAAACGAAGTAAAAGTTTTTGAAAATAGTGATGGTCCCCAAAGACCATCATACTCAAACAAAACATCACCTATTTATCAGCATATTTTCTTCTTTTTTTTTTTTTTTTTTTTTTGAAATTTTAGGATTGCTACATTCTTCCCTCCTTAAAGAAATTTAGTCCTCTAAATTTATGTACCTGATTACTGAAAAAGATAGGGGTATTTTTCTCTGATTTCGTCTTCTCTTTCGCACGTGACTCTTCTCTTGAATGGTACTGCCATAATACACGGACTAAAGGAATCTCCTTGTTACGCAACACTTGCACCCTTCTATCCAGTATCAAAATTGGCTGCTCAATGAAGGATAGGTCTTTCCTGATCGATAATGGTTCATATTTTAAGATATGGGACGGGTCGGGCTGATATTTTAGTAGTGAAGATACATGAAAGACATTATGGACATTTGCCAATTCGGGTGGTAAGGCAAGTCTATAAGCCACACCTCCGATTCTTTCCAGGATTTCAAATGGTCCGATGTAACGTGGGCTCAACTTTCCTTTCTTGCCGAATCTCATAATGCCCTTTATTGGTGAGATTTTTAGGAAAACTCAATCACCTTCCTCAAATTCAAGATCTCTCCTTCGGTTATCGGCATAACTCTTTTGCCGACACTGAGCTGTCCTGAGCCTTTCACGAATTAATGCTATTTTATCTGTAGTTATCTGGACAATTTCTGCCCCCAAAAGCTTTCTTTCACCAACCTCGTCCTAACATATGGGTGACCTGTATTTTCTT